ATGTAATTAAAGCATTGTATATTTCATATGAGTATTTTTACATGCAGTAGAGAAGCACCCCCAGGAAGAGGTTACTAGCACTTTTATGCAAGGGGGTTTCAATCTGATCCTCGTTTCTCAATCAGGGTGTCTGAATGTACCATACATTTTGCATACCAAAGTACAATTTTCCCTTATTCAGGACTGAACTTTCAATTTCAAACATTATTTCAATTTTTATATTTGTTTCAATGATGCCTTCTCATTTTATATCAATACAAACTTCAAAACAAATTATATACAGTAAATGACATTGTGTCTAAACATGGAAAAACCCTGTGTTACATTTTTTGATTAGATGATAGATTTCCCTTCTTCTCTGGTCATAATAAAGTGATTACTGTGGTCCTAATTTATTTTACTCGTAATAGTGCAACTTATCACTGTTTTGTGGTATTTGAAGTGTCAAATATTTTAATACCGCCCTTCTACCTAATCAGCGGTGTCGTCAGGAAGGTTCCCAATGGCTCCTTTTACCTGTTTGAACAAAAGCTCATGCATGTTTGTTAGTCAATGGACACAGCTAAGCATTTCTTTCATCAGCAAATCAAGTGGCAGACCCTTATGGGGTCCTCTCAAATGCTTAGATGGGTTATTATGTTAGTATGCATTCTTGTTCTCATTAGTGCAAGCGGCAATGCAGTCAGCCAGTACATCTTAGTTTCCCTGCAGATTTTCCTTTAACTCTTTTCATTAGGTCTTGTGATTGGGAATGATACACTCTTCCCAGCCTATGTTTCTTGATCCTTCGTGATTGACATACAGAAATTGTTGTTGAATCTGTCAACTTTAGTTTGTTTTTTGTGCAGGTTTTACTTTGCTTGAAAGAGCCATCTGGTTTTCTGATATGTTCTGCTCAGAGTTCACATGATTATATCAGTTTTTAAACTGTAGCAACCATGTATGGAGACCACCAAGTGTTTTGTAACACTTTCAGTACCCCCCCCCCTTGCGACATGCGCAACAACAAACAACTGTGGTATCAAAGATGCAGGTGCCACCAACAACCCTGTGGCAGAACAAAAACGTCCAGTGGAGCAGTCTTTAACAACTCCCCTGTCAAACCAAAGTTGTTTCTCCTCTGCAGAGGCAGTCGACTGTACCTCAGCCAGAGCATGCAATGAAATGGTGGGATCGCCGTCGTCATTGTCAACATCAGGGGTGGTTTTTACTAACATCACCCCATGGTACATTAGTGTGGGGAGGTGATTGAGGTCTGAGAATGCTGTCTGTTTAACAGCTTCATGAATGTTGCTGCAAAGAAGCTACTAATTCTAAAACGTAGATGCTACGCACACATCTTCGACCTGACAGCACAGAAGATCTATACAATCGCCACACTTTCAAGGTGAGCACCCACAATTAGTGTATCAATTCAGTATCCAACCAAATGTAAAATATGGTCACAATCGCTCCTTCTGTTCCTGAATTACAGACTTGAATAATCCCGAAAGTGTTTTAGCAGAACATTATAACGTATATGTAGTATATAATATATATATATATACATATAATGTCAGGCTTGGGGAATAATGGATATACTGTAATTAGGTAATCGGGATACAAAAACTCCATTACAGTAACTGTAATCCATATTACATTTAATAAAAAGTTGAATAATAAGCAAGATTTCTTTTTTAAAATAAAGAATGATTTACTACCATGCACATGTGTAGTGCGTACACCACTCTGCTCTTGAGTGAAACCACAGTAATCTTACAGTTGCCAATTCATTATCACGGCCTCTAGTGAAAAAGTGCTTTCATTGGGTGGAAATTTTACCATTACTTTGTCTTTAAAGCAGAAGGGGAAAAACATCACAGTACAGTGCAAGTTATACGTTCCAGCTGTGGAAATGGTTTATAGGCTACTGCCTGAATTTGCTTAATGAAAACCAAGTCTTTCTTTAAAAAATACAGCAGAGGATGCTAAAAATCTTGTTTTCCCCATTTTCTTTTCTAGGGTTACATTGTTTTGTTATTTTAAGAAAACACATCATATATTATTAACATTATTAACACATTTTATTTATTTGCATATTTCGTACTGAGGTAATCCAAGTAACTTTGACATAATGATACTTGAATTATGTTACTGATTACATTTTAAAATCTGTAATTGTATAGGCTAACATTTTTAAAGTAACTGTCCCAGCCCTGGTCACACTGAAGTTGACCTTTGAACTTTTGGATATAATCTAAATAGCAGCTACATTTCACAGCCGTTACTTTACTGCCCATCAAGAAACTCTGTAAATCACAGAGACTTGAGGCAGAGCAGCCAGAGGACATCAGAGAGAAAACCAGAAGACATCTTGTCCACAAAATATGAAAGTTACAAAGTGCAAGAACAGATGGTGCAGAGTGGGAATGACAGAGACACTATTCACCATATTACAGGTCATAGTGTAGCATTAAAATGATTTTGAAGCTGTTATTTTAAGGTAGAAAAGTTATATAATTGGTCTCTAAGTATTACAGAAGACTCATTGATGTTAAGAACTATATTTTAAATTACTGTGGTCAGCACATTAAATTTGATATTGAAATACAGCCATACTCAAAGCACCAATATATGCATCATTTACTTTTCTTTCAAGTTTAATCAAACACCAGGACACAATAAAACTAATTTAACAGGACCATGCAGGGTTTTGCAGAATACGTCCTTCGAGTGTAAAGGTCCGCCACATCAGGCACCAACTGTCTCCATCATAAACTTGCGACTGAGCTCATAAGCCAGGAAGAGGGCTCCATTGGCAGGGAAGGTGCGAATCAAGGTAGGAGTCAGGCCAGAGTACAGAGCAGTGAACCCTGCGGGACAAGAGAGAGTAAAAGAGCTACACAGGTCATTCCCCAACATATGAGTCAGGACCCGAGCATGAGCCAGTTAGTAACAACATGCATGCGTATTCAAATAGTCAGACCAGCAGAGATCGTAAACTTCAGCTACCCTAATAGGCACTACGTTTGTAGTTTTCTCAGATTTTATGTTGATTAGATACATTGCACAAGTTCACAATAAGGTTCTGACATGTGATTATAGCTCCCTCCCAAGCATCAGTGTAACTGTAAGGGTAGCTTCATTTGTGTCATGTCAACAGATATTTACAAAGTCAAACTTTTTTAACTAATGCACTTCTAAAGAAAGTATGCGACCCGTTCTATGCACACTGAGGCAAAGTTACTCTGTATATCTCTCCATCATGCCAACAGATGGTGCAGATGGCGAGGCATGTGGCTGTGACTGACTGAGATGAGATGTACAGTTATAGTCAACTAAATGGGCAATTCAGGTCAGACTGTAGTTTTTTACACACCACAGTGTCTACAGTTTACAGAGAATAGTGGAATAAAAATATCCTTTCAGAGGCTGCTTTGATCTGAAAAAATACAATTCATTTAGGGATCTAAGACCAGCTCAAGTGCTTTCATCTCTTACTCTTCAATCGATGTTTCAGCAAATCCCTCTCAGTGCTTCGACTTTAACTTCCCTGGGCGCTTACACTTACATAACACATCAACTTTATTCAGGGCTTAATCTTAAACTGAATCTACAGCTTCTTTCAGGATTTCCATTGTAACCATCTGCCACTTCAATTTCTTTCAGTTTTCTTTCTTTTCTTTTTTTCTTTCTGTTTTATTTATGAACATTTACTGGCACCACCAGCAGTTGTGTCTCTCCCATCCTCTCTCTCTGTCAAAAATGACACAGCAGCAACTGCCTGAGAGGTATATTCTGTTACTATAGAGAGGTCGGTTATTTCTAAACTCATTATGAACAGAGTGGGAAACGCAAGTCTTGACAGCAGTGTTCTCTACTGAACCAAGGTTGTTCACAAAAAGCCTAATTATACAGTGGCTGTCCTTCAAACTATGATTACATGGTCACGTGATATAAACCAGTCTGTGCTCCCTTTTTTTCTGTAAAATGTGTGAACTATGCTGTTGAGAACCCATCTGGGTCAATTCAAATTTTTAAATGTATGTTCAGATCTTACCCTCAGTGCGTAGGATACCCATGAAGGTCTTCATAAAGCCCTCTTGCCTCCCAGCTAATGAGTAGACCTGGATCCTGGACTTCACACAGTCTATGGGGTAGACCATCACCCAAAGACAAGCTCCCCCAAATCCACCGCTGAACATGAGTGGAAGAATACCTGCAAAGACGAATATTATTTTATGGCAGCAGGTCAGAGAAAAATGATAAACTGCAAAAATGCCTGTTAAATATAAATACAAAAAATAAAATAACCATACCTATGCTGTCCTTGTCCGTGCCCTTGTACTGTGCAAATTTAGACCGACACATTTCATAGGCTCCAAAAAAGCAGAAGTAACCTGGTATCTCCCTCACAATGGTGGAGGACCATCCTTGGTAGAAACCCAGGGGACCATTTTTCTTCAACACTGTCTTCACTACTGTCCACATTGTGCTGTAATCAAACCACAAAACACAGTCAAAGGTGTATCAACTGAAACTAAACATGTTCTGCTCATTCCACTATCACTTTTTGGTCCCCCTGACCTTCTCTGTCCACTTGCAATCTTGCCAGCTGCTTCCATTTCATGCATTGCCTGAAGGCGACATTTCACCAGCTCTGTGGGGCATATCGCCGTGGCGGAGAAGATGGAGGCTAAAGACCCTGCAGATGCCTTCTGAATGTCACTAATGAGCAATGAAAAAGAGCACAGTAGAAGAAACAATAAGGGAAAAAAGAGAAAAACATACATTCCTTCCTATATTTACCACAAATAAGAGGTTGTTTGCTCTGTTGTAGTCTGCTGACTTACAAATGACCTCCAAAATTCAGTGCACTAAAAGTACAAGAAACATGTACTGTAGTTCCTCATCAGATTTTACGATAATTTCTCGTAAAATAATGTGCATATCGGGGCAAAAATGTGTCTCTCTACGGTATAAATCAAAGTATCAACACTTGAGGACGTAATCAGGTGTCAATAAAACTGTGAGCTTCAAGAAAGAAAACAAACTTCTCTTTAAAACAAGAACTATCCAGCAGCTAAAATACAGATGGGATATGCTCTGAGTTGCACAAAATGATACAATGTCAGAAGTAAGTCAGGGATTCATCTTCCCAGCAGTAATTTAAATACTTAGAATTAATAAGTATTAATATCTTAATGACATCAGTGCTACTATCAAATTCACAATATGAAAGTGGTCTGTTAGAAAATTATCTCTCGGTTATTATTCAGTCAGTCGTTTAGTCCTTAAACAGTCCCCAAAATATATGAAATTTACAATGAAATAAAATTGTGACATAAGCTTTACACAATAGTGCATGCTGACTTATGTTACTGCAGAGGGTGTGGATTGAGGAAGCAGCAACTCATGGAGGACCGAAAGGAAATGTGGAGGTGACAAATGTGAAGCAAAAAAAATTATTAGTAAGACAATTCTAAGATGTCATACTGATGGCCTGGAAACTAAGCTAAAGAACTATTATATAATATTTGTTATGTCATACAATACTGATATGCCAAAATGGTGCTCACCACCACAGCCAGTTCTGGAGCTTTATTATGAATAAACAAATAAATACACAGAAATGTGCCTTGAAAGGTGTCAAACCTGAGATTGGCCCCTTTATCCATACTGGACACAAAGCGGACCGCATCCTGGCAGAGGCCATAACTCAAGAAGAGCACAGCGTTCTCAGTGATGTTGGCCAAAAGGGCCGGGGTCGTGCCTTTGTAGAAACCACGTAGTCCTGCCTGCCTGAAGGTAGACACGAAGCAGTGGGCGAAGCCACGGTACATTGTGGGGAACGCTTGCATCTTCACCTTTGTGGTATCAAACGGCTGACCGCTCAGCACACAGGCTGTACCACCTGAGGAAGGATTTCAAGAAATGTCTTTATGAGTTTCAATACGAGAGATAAAACTGATGCAATGACTTATCAGAGCAGAAGTGGCCAAAGTAAAGTACGGGGAACTGTTTGTCATGCTTCCCCAGATAGATACACATCAGTACACAGACCCACAGTAGTTGCTGGATATGACTTTGTATTGACATAACTGTACACTTTACAAACTTTTGCTGCTGACCTCGTGACTCTCCCTCAACAAAGCCAACATTTTCTCCTACCCATAAATAGAGGAACAATGCTATGGGACATCCTTAATAATGGTGTTTCAGTACAAGCTTTATTTTCTTTTTTTTATGAAACGGTAGATTGAGAGGCAACAGTGGAGGTGAGTGAAAACCCAGGACCAAAACGTTATTATGCATATGCATTGTGTTAACTTGGATTATAGTTAAATTATGATTAATAATTTTACTTTTTAATAGGTTAGATTAAGGATCCATGGGGTCTTCATAGATATACAGTATATAGATCAGAATCAGGTTTATTGCCAAGTAAGTTTTCAAGTACGAGGAATTTGCCTTTGTACATTGGTGCAAAAGAATAACAATGAAGCGCAGAAAAGTAAAATAAAGATAAAAAGATAAAAAATAGGGACAATAAAAATCCCTCTATACACAAATATAAATAGAATATGTAAAATACACAAAATAGCCAGATACACTTAAATACTACTAAATTGATACTTAAATAAATTAGTAAATAAGATAGATAGATAGATCTCACCTATTGCTCCTGCTGAGAAGTCAATGATTGCCTGGATCATGGGCTGTGTAGCCATAATGATGATAATGAACCTGAAAATATCAAAACAACCTTCATCCTTCATCTTTTGGCACATACATGCAAACACAAAATTGAAAGTACTTGTAAAATTAGTAATGGCTGGACACATTCCCTGCTCACCTGTAGTCTCCTCAGTCTGCTGCTGTTTATCACTCGTGTTGATCTTAATCTTTCCCTCACAAACAGCAACAGTAAAACATGTATTGTGCTACAAGCTCACAGCACGTTGCTCCATATGGGCAAAAGATGAGTCTGACCCTGTCAAATACACGGACTGGTATCCACCCTTAATTCTTAGTAAGTTTCCATATGAGCATCTGATTTCACATAATGAAACTAACATTTTCGAGAACGGAGGGCAGGAGTTGAATTTCCTTGAAATTCAGCCATGCTCTGGTTTTTAATGTGCCTGTAATCTCACTGTACTTCCGTTTTCTTAGCGCCTTGTGAAATCTATCGGCGGATTGCAACAAGTTGTTCCTGCCACGCGTAAAGGGCGCACTTTACGCATAACCAAGCGCAGGCGTTTCCAGGGGAAGCAACAATAATACAGGAAACCATCCAAAATGAAAGCATGATAATTAGAGGCATAACTAGGCTGTTACATCGATATACTCTATGGACTTCCTGTCTTTGATACCACTGTTAAATATCATGTGATGTGACTGTTGACATTGCTGAGAGAATTTTTAAAAAAATAAATAAAAAAAAAGCTCTCTATCCATCTTATCTTGAAGCTTTATTCAGTTAAAACGCATTAGGCAGTTGGTTTTATTTTGAAACTATTATTTTCTGTACAAGTCCTATTTTTAACAGGCTGGCTTAATACTGTTACCTGACTGGAACAAACTGTATATCTCAATGTTTTGTTTGATAGCTGATTAGTTAGAGTAGCAGATAAATACATTTAATTAAAAAAAAACACTGGTAGAAAAAAAAGAACCATGTGTTTTACAACCATGTGTTTTAGTCATGCTGACTAAATGGAGAGTTAAATGCGGAAGAGATGAGATGCTGGTTGTGTCTAGTTGTAATACCTGACAATGGCCACAAGATGTCAATAAAGTCCATAGTTGACTGAGGACGCGCAGAAAACAGCTTCAATCCAACAAACCACCGGCAGCAAACCTCCAACTGAACACACTAACTAACTGTTGTGTATGTGCATTGATTTAACTGTGAGGAGCCGCTCTTTCTTCGTTTCTTTTCAACAAAATATGCTTTAATACTTTTCTTAAAACTGTCTTTGTGTTTTTATTTTCAGAGTTATTATACAGAGTTAGTATTATTGGTAAAGATGTAACCTTTTTTAGTATATCAATATTGCTAGTTTTGAGAAATTGTAGGTTATTTTTTGTAAACTCTGTCCCTTAAATTATTATATGGTATGAACATTGGCTGTATAGCAACAGTACTAGTACACTTATCCATTTTGGTGGATAATGGATTTAGAAACTTAAAGCCTACTCATAAGGAGTAATACGGAGTTGCTGTCTCAACGAGTTGCACGGGATAAAACATGACCATCAATAATGTATATAATGTACATGGCAGATGACCAAAACACATATTTAACCCTAAATAACTGAAGGACTGGGCTGAGTGAGAGGACATTTTCACATGAATTCAATTCGGTTTTATCAATCAACGAGGTGACAAAAATGTGAAGTTGAGTGAAGAAAGTGAAGAAATGAAGTACTATCTTGATCTAAAGTGTAAAACAATCGGCCACGATGGATTGTGAATAAACTCCCGTTGAGCTGGTTAAGAGTTCAGTATTTCTTTGCTCTTCAGACACAGTGTTTACTAGACGAAGGAATGAAAACAAGGACTATTTTTTTTTCGTCCAACTCTTTCGACGCTGTCCATTGGCGGTCTCCTGCTGTCAATCAAGAGTGGGCGGTGTCAGCTGACAAATGATAGTTCCAGTAAGTCCTCACATGCTGTACAACACAGAGAGTCAACAGGCTGTTGGGGCGCAGACGGAACATCACTACGACTGGATACCAAAAACACAGCAGCGGCTCAGACACTGTGGACACTCAGACGAGCTTCTTTTCCTCATGAAAGGCCTTTTTGGAAACATACTTTTTGTTGCGGTTAACACAGATTTTTACCGGCTTGGGATGTGACTTCCAGTGTAGTGACTTTGCGCCCAGGCGGAGCACTGTTTCCCCGGACACATTTTGTCTTGTGTTCGCTCACATTTCAAAGGCGAACTTGCTACTTTTCGAGGGGCGACAGGTTCGTCACATTTACATGACATTGTAACACTTGTTGCTCCGTCACCTCTCGACCATGGCGGAAGCGGCCCAGCAGCCACACCTGGTGGAAATCGACCCGGATTTTGAGCCCCTGTCGCGGCCCCGGTCGTGCACTTGGCCCTTGCCCCGGCCGGAGTTCATCAACCCGGGCGACTCCAACACGTCCTCGCCCGTGCCGTCTGTGAAGCAGGAGCCCGCCGGCAATGCCGACTTCATCAACAACCTTAGCCTGCTGGAGGAGACCGAGGACTTCACGGAGCAGAAGCCTGTCATCCTGTGCACTGATTTCCAGTGTCAGGAGAACTGCGTCCACCAGCAACCTCCACAGCAGCAGCAGCAGCAGCAACATCAGCAGCAACATCAGCAGCAACATCAGCAGCAGCACCCGAACCCGCAACTCCCGCATCATCACCATCACCATCAGCAGCAGCAGCAG